AAAATGTATTCGTTTGGGGGTTGCTCGAGTAAAACCGTTTTTTATTGACTAATCTTGTTCATTCGAAGGCACTTCGTAGGTCGCAGTCATTGTATCTCGGTATTCCTTGGTTGAAAAAACATATAGACAAGCAGAAATTCGTATATATTCTCCGTTTCACTTTAGGTCCAAATGCCAAGTAAATAATGCATCGTCACGGCGCTCGTTTTTTTTTTTTTGTATAGGTTCGTTATTTGCGGAATAATTAGAGTCGCTAAATAAGCTACGCTTTAGAGTACCGCACTTCAGGCATCTTGGTCCTTAATACTGTGGTGGTCAGTCATGTGAAGCTCTACCAAAATTTGTAGGCAACGCTTTTCCATGCTTCACACACATTCAAACAGTACGCGAGAGAGCAAAACGACATCACCTGAGCTTCCTAACATCGCATCTAAAGCCGAGAAATTCGCATTTTTTAATGGTGACGAAGGGCAGCTGCTCCGAATTAAGCACCAAGATGGCGGCCGCAACTCGCAGTTCTGGGCACAGAGTGCCAGTACGTCCTAACAGCAGTTCGTTTAGTGGCTCTAGGTTAAATCATTCGGGCACCCCAAGGAAGCGCAGGTTGGCGATGCATTCCCCGTGCGTGATTCCTTTAGTCGGTAATAGTATGGTGCCTGGAGCGCGTCTCCGACTGGTATGTATAGCGTCCTCACCCGCCCATACATCGAAAGTGGTTACGAAGTGGCAACAAATGACGTCACAGAAGCCGGAGTGTCATGCTCTTGCATGTCGCGATCCTGGCGGTTGGTCGTAGAAATGCTGGCGAAAACCACAGGCGAACGCGAGTGTCCCTGTCGTCACGGCGTTCCAGGCGTCCCAACGTCCGGCTGCTCTAGCTTCTGTGGACTGTCACAATGAAGAGCGACCTGCAGCAGAACAGGCGTCTGCCACATACACCACAGCTATTGGGACGCCGTCAGGTTCGCGACTGGCGACAACATGACACTTCTATGACGTCATCAGGCGGAAATCGATGGACCACTTTTTTGGACCCGGTAAACACACCAGTGAGAGACGCGTTCCAGGCGCCGTAGTAATAGTAAACGCACTAAGGCAACGAGCGCCGTGACGGGGCACTTTTGTCGCCGCTTCAATGGCTCCATCGGATCCCTGCGGTGGCAGCGGTCGGACTTTAACACGGCGTGTCGGGTATGTGTCGAAACTAACTTAACATCGTTTTTAAAACTGGAAAGTTTTCTGACTTATTTATTGTGTGCACGAAACGTACGAAGCCACCCGTGTGGGGTTGTACCCGTGTCGGAGAAACACGACACCTGGCAGTTGTTACTGCGTCCGTTTGTCAGGTGATGGCTCTGTGGGCTGTTGTTTTTCGCATGCTGTGCTGAGGCACAAAACCATCTAATCATCTATCAAACTTGTTATTAAAATGACACTCCTTCATAGTGTAGCCGGCGCGGCTTCTAAAGCTGCAAATCATTCAACATAATTTATTTTTTCGCTCTCTCCCTCCATTTTTGTCGTTCCTCCTTTGCTCTCTTACACCTGTAGCTATCAGTAAGGCCACTGGGCTGAGGCACAAGATGGCCTATCAAACTGGTTATTATTGTTTCACTTGCGTATAAAGTACCCGGCGCAGCCTTTTAGCTCTGCAAAACATTCACCACACATTTTCTCTCTCGCCTTCTATCTCTATTTTTAATCCTTTGCTTTCTGACACCTGCTGCTTTCAGTAAGGCCGCCCGTTTTCGAGGAAAAAAAAGAAGAAGCAAAAACTGGTTGGTAGAGGCATAGTTGTTGACAAGTTAGGAAGAGGATCCAGGATTCTCCACTTACACTTTGTGTGTATTTCAGTACTAACTGTAACCGGACCACTTGTTACCAACCGCGTCAACGCGTGTCTCGCTTTCCAGCTACCGGATTCATATTTCAGGATTCCAAATTTTAAAAAGAATTCGAATCTCGCACTTCGATATTTTTGACCCAGGAGCCAGATTCCGTGCCTAACGTCAATGATGGTTGTTGTCGTTTCAATTTATTTAATATTTATTTATTTATCAATACTGTCAGCTTTCTCTCGAAGGCTATTACAGGAGAGGGAGAAATAAAAGGGAAAAACATACAATCTTAACGTTTAACAGCAATGAGGACATACAAAATACTATTACATTTTCAAATAACAACAATCAACCACTATTTCTTTTAATTTGAAAACAGCTCTTCCAAGGAAGACTCAAAATGAGACGCGTCTGTTAAATTTATGACACACTCCGGGAGACTATTCCATTATGCAATTGTTTGCGTGAAAAAAGAGTATTTAAAGACGTCTATTCTACTACAATAAGGTTGGATCGTTTTCGTATGATTTAGTCTTCTTGATCGCTTATGCACTTCTTTCAAATACAATGCTGGGTCAATTTTTAATTGTCCGTTATAGAGGGAAAAAACAACTTTAACCTTGCAATCTTCCGTCTAGTTTCTAGCGGCTGCAAGCCGCACTCATGCAACATTCTAGTTAGAGTTTGTTCTTTTATACTTAGATAGAATAAAACGTACAGCCAACCTTTGAATCTTTTCTAATTTTTCTTTGTCAACTTTTTTGTTGGGACTCCATACCACACTGGCATACTCCAGTATAGGACGTACCATCGTTTTATAGGCAGTCAACTTTGCGTCTCTAGTAGCATCTTTTAATTTCCGTCGTATAAAACCAAGACTCCGATAGGCCGAAGAGCAAACATTTTCAATATTGGCCCGCCACAGTAGGTCATTTGAGATCGTGACACCAAGGTACTTGAAACTGTCCACATTATTCAAATTCACATCCCCCATATTGTTGGAAAATTTTAAAACGTTCCTCTTGTTTGTTACGTGCATGTATGCCGACTTACGAAAATTTATTTGCATTTTCCAATCATTACACCTCTGCCTTAACATTTCCAAATTCCTGTTTAAGTTCCATTGATCCACGGAATTGTTTACGAGAGCATATAGCAAGCAGTCATCTGCAAAGAGCTTCAGTTTAGTTGGAGCATGAATATAAGTAGCGATATCATTTATATAAATCAAAAACAACAATGGACCCAGGACTGAGCCCTGAGGGACTCCTGAGGACACAGGTAATGGCGCAGATAGACTTCCATTAATTTCAACTCTTTGACTTCGATTTTGATAGATAGGCTTCAATCCAATTAGTAATAATAGAACCTAGACCTAGTGCTTTTAATTTCCATATCAGTTTTTCATGTGGTATACGGTCAAACGCCTTTGAAAAATCGACGCAAATAACATCTACCTGTTGCTTATTATTAACGGCAAAAGAAAAATCATGAAACGTTTCTACAAGTTGGGTTACCGTTGACAGGCCACATCTAAAATCGTGCTGGTGGGGATAGAACATGCCTCGGTCCTCTAGGAAAGTGAATATGTGTTTTGAAATAATATGCTCCATTACTTTACAACAAACACTTGTCAGAGAAATGGGCCTGTAATTATCTACCCTGAGACGGCTTCCGTCTTTAAATACTGGTACAACACAGGCATATAACCATTCTTGTGGAAGAGTGTGCGTTTGTAATGATGTGTCAAAAATAATTTTAAGATAATGGGATAGCCACTCAGCATATCTTTTTAGAAATTCATTCGGTATTTTATCCGGTCCCGTTGATTTCTTCGTATCAAGAGATAACAACTTCGCGAATATTCCTGATTGGGTTATCAACACGCCCGGTGGGCTTATTTCAGTATCGTCACTTGAGGCTTCACGCATGACATGCGACTCATGCGCTGAAAAAACTGACTGAAAAAAAAAAGCGATTGAAGTGTCCTGCCATTTCTACATTGTCTGTAATAACTATGTCACCGTCAACGATTTGTTCAATTGGCTCCTTTCGTCTCTTTAAGAAACGACAAAACTTTTCGGGGGCAGTTTTTATAAAATTGTGCAGAGTTACTGAAAAAAAGCTTTCCTTGGCTTCTCTAAGTGCCGTTTTTAAACTGCACTTTAAGGCGTTCACGTTTTGTTTGTTATTTTTTCTATGCCTTCTGATTCGTCGTTTCAAGTGAATCATTTCGCGTGTTATCCAAGGATTTGTACGATGAACATGTTTAATTTTGCTAGGTACATAATGATCTATACAAAAATTAATAGTTGTCTTTAAAAAGTTCCATAGGTCGTCAATTGTACTAGTAGTGCTAAGTTGCTCGAATGCTTCCAACAATGTCTCTAAGTAATCTAAAATACTTGTATTGTCTGCGCGAGCAAAGTCTTTAACAGTAATGGGCATGGAGGCCCGGCAAGGGCCATGGCGTGGTAAGGGGGTTGAGAACACAACCATTTTGTGATCTGAGATACCTTCATTAACTGAAACTTCGTACTCAGATATACTGTCTGAAATAAAGACCAAGTCCAATAGCGACTGAGATCGATCAGTAATTCTAGTGCAGTCTTTGACTATTTGCGTAAGATTGTGATTAAACATAATCTCGAGCATTTTTTCTCCGTTGGGAATATCAATACCACCAGCTACCAATAGATCCCAATCCACATGCGGTAAATTAAAGTCTCCAGTTAGAATTACCCTGGTGTCACTTTTTACATGTTTACAGAGAAAATCATTCAGACATTGTAAGAAGTCAATTGGAGCGTTTGGTGGCCTGTAGACAACCCCTATAAGAAACACACGATTGCAATAAGATATTCGGCACCAGACAGTTTCATTACACTCGCATTCAAGTTCTACACAGTTTATGTCATTTCGGAAAGCAATTGCTACGCCTCCGCCTCTGGTGATTCTATCACACCTTATTAATTTATAACTAGGGGGAACAATGCAGTCGCTCGCAATATCAGACGAAAGCCATGTTTCTGTGATCGCCACCACGTGAGGACTCTGAGCAATTAACGAAAATTCCAGAGTGTCAATTTTATTTACCACACTTCGCGCGTTTAGGTTTATAACATTCAGTTCCGGAGGATCGTTTCGGTCTGTAGCAACGAGTCAATCATGCATTTCAGTCCTAGACTGCAGAAGAGAACGTCGCTGCTTAAGTTCAGAATCCCACACAAATGTTTCCTTGTTAATCTTGAGCTTATCGTGCACAAGAGAAACTTTATCACCCTTTTCTTTGTTTGATGCCGCGCTTTTCCAAAGTTGCTTTCTGATTTCTACTGTTTCTTTTGTGTAGTCACTACTTATGCTCAGTGTCGTTCCTTTTAGCTTTTTACAGTTCTTTAGGATTTCATTTGTTTCGTTGTAGTCGAAGAACTTCATGATTACTGGCCTACTAGTTTCATCACGCTTTCGCCCAAGTCTGTGAATTCGTTCAACAGAAGTTACGGTCACGCCGATAACTTTCTGGAATACATCTTTTGTTACTGTTTGTTTGAGCTCCTCAGTACTTTCATTATCTTTCTCGGGTAAGCCAAATATCACAAGGTTATTTCTTCTGCTTCTGTTTTCTAAGTCGATAAGCCTATAATTTTGCTGCCTTACGGTTCGTTCCAAGATCGCAACAGATTTCTTTAGACTTGTAACTTGCGCCATTTCCTTTTCAATATTTGCTAGGGCATCTTTAAACCCAGCAATTTTGGCATTAATGCCTGTCATTTCTTGTCTAAGACTGTCTTGTCCGGCCTTGACCTCTTGAAGTTGTTTACTCATGTTGCTTTGGTTATCCAGAATCATCTGTAAAGTAACCTCTATTTCTGTTGGACCTGGGTTTGTCTCGATGTTCCCAGAAAGCAGCAACAACGTAAAGACATTCCAACAGTCCGCTGAAATGGCACGACACTTTTGAGGGCACGGCACTATCACCAGAAATCTGCAGTCACTTCTCTAACTACACTGATCGTATTGTGAACCAACCTGCATGAGCAGTTGCAGAAAGTTAGCCATGCCGGCCGTCCGGTGATTGCCGAGCCCTCGGACGTTGGTCGGGCATATATGGGTCGGGTCCGGTCGCTCCTTTTCTAGAAGTGCGGCGGGTGACGTCGATGACCCTTGACGAAAATGCAACCAATCCCAGTTGGTGATGATGACGTGTCGTGTCCGGCGTTATCTTCGGGAACGAAGAACGGCGTGTTCAGTTTCGCTGTGCCTAGCATCGGCACCACCTGCATGAGCAGCTGCAGGAAGTTAGCCATGTCGGCCGCCCGGTGAGTGCCGAGCCCTCTAATGTCTAATTCTAATGTTTATATCAATTTGTAATTCTCGAGCGTCTGCGTCGGCCTCTGGTAAGTGGAAATCCAAAGTGGATATTGTTCCCTGAATTGTTTCTTTCAATTGATACAAAATGAGTAGCTGTGTGGGCTTAACGTTTATAAGAATACGGATGAGTAATTAAGTCTTGTAAAGGAATCAGGTAAGATAACATTAAAAGTAATAAATATCATAGGACCTTTTTTACCAAGTCATTATGACGTGAACAACGCCATACGTTGAATATAACTTTTTTTTTTGTTAAAACCTATTTTATAATCGGGCGCAAAAAAACAAAAACAAAAAGCCGAAAAGAGCTATGTTTTTTTTATTGATCCTACGGGTGCCACGCGAATCTAGAAAATTTTGTTTCGACATATATTGCACGTGGGGCAACACGTTTCTTATTAATATTTGAAGTATCTATACAACATTCAACTGAAGTCGGACACACATGTAGGTGGGAAGTTTTATTTCACGCTTTGGGAATATAAATTATTGAATTTAAGCACAAATCACAAAAAAAAAAAAATGGTGGTCACTGGAACGCGCATTGCTTCACCGACTAAACACCGCACGCAGAGAAAGAGACAATAATGGATATATTCCTGTATTTTCAACGTGCACGTGACGCCAAGGGCTTTTTTTTAATAAGCGAAAAAATGCACACACGTGCAGATGATTAAAATTCTGAAACTAAAAAAAAAAAAAAAAAAAAAAAAAAAATATTGCGGGCATCTTGGTCGGGATTCGAACCCGCCAAAGAAAACAGAGAGGAATAATTTTATAATTCATAATGTGCCAGATTTTGCATGAAAAAAAAAAAAAAAAGGTTTCAATGTCGATGTTTTGTTCTTTTCGTTTCGATGCTGCGACACAAAGACTGCGGTGTTCGGGGTTTGAGGACCCAGGGTCCCAGCGCTCAGATCGTGGATGGCGAGGGCGCCGCCCCTCTGGAGTTTCCCTGGCAAGCGTTTGTCCAACGGTCAGATGCCATCTTCTGAGGTGGCTCCGTCATTAACAAGGAGTACATCATAACCGCTGCGCACTGTACAAACCCGTGAGTGAAGCATAGTTCAATAGTGATTTAATAGGGGTGGAATAAAACCAGATCGCTTTAAGTTGGTTGCTATTTTACAGTCTTCGAACTTTCTTTGCATGCATCGGGTAGCCACAATTTACGCGAGAGGTGTAAAGCATGTCGGAAAAATTGAAGCCGAAATTTAGAAAGCTGGAAGTTTCAGCGAATTTGCATTGGGTGGGTGGGTTTTACCTAACAACAGTTTGGGGTTTAGCTTTCTCTCTGCGATAAATTAGATAAACAAACTTGCCAGGTTCATCGACAAATGTGTTCGCCAACGATTGCTTATCTGTTGGCTACGCTTATCTGGAGATGGCGCCACAAGTTACAATAATCTAGAGTAACTGTATATGCCACGCTTGCATATAAGAGTATCGCAATGGTGCAATTCTAGAGCCTAGCACTGCGGGAAGCCACGATCGGTTTTGTAGGGTGCACGAAGGCGCAGACGCGAGGCGGCGTGCTGGGCCGTGCTGCGGTGCGCTGCGTAAGGAAAATAGTGCGGCGTGCAGCGAGGGGCCTTTTATGCGCCGTCATTGTCGTCCCGTCATTTCCTCTTTCCCTCTCGATTGCAAAAATCGCGCCCGCGGGTCGCGCGTCGTAGTGTGTGGTGTGCACCGCTCCACGGTCGTGGTAGTGTCGTGTCATGGTATTGTCAAGTTGCTGTTGCCGCTCACCTTTCCATACGCAGAAGCTTGACGAGGTGGCGTCTCACATCTTTTCTCGTCGTCGGAGCTGTTGCCGCTGTCCGCACGATTTGTGCACTTCGTAACACTACAGCCTCTCATTTACACGGGGCTCTTTCTCCGCGCGTGCGAAATTCATTGCGGTAAACAGTGCAGCGACTGACAAAAACGCTGTCCCTGCGCTTTCGAATGACAGCTCGCTGACTCGCCAAGATGGCCGGATGTGCCGGTCGCGCATTGCGTATCACTCCGCCAGAGCCGCAAATGTGGGCAACGCGATCGTCGTCCGTGTCGTCTGTTTCCCACATGTTGGAAACGGATGTTCTAAAAGATCGCTCGAGTTATAAAAAAACGCTATCCTACTGTACCTAGTTGCTACACATAAATTTCAATGATTTGGAAAGCTTTCGGTTTGTTCGATTTTAGTTTAGGATCTATATTTTTCGAACGCAAAGCGGAAAATATGTTCTCTCCGAAACTCGACACTATGCAAGGCCGCTTTCCCCCATGAAGGTTGGATCCAGCTCTGCTCACGTGACCACGCCTCTGCCAATACAGGTATGGCGGCCAAGGGAAAAGGAACGTGATACTCTGGCTCTGCAAGCAGAGCCTATGCAGTTACTCTACAAGCATTGTTGTAGAGTAACCGAGAGGTCACCGAGAGCATCTACTGTACCCGGTGACCTCTCCCCGTTGCTTCGCTCCTCCCAGACTGCTCGCATAGAAATGACGTCAGGCCTAGCAACCACCTAGCAACGGAAAACGCCGGGCGAATGGCGCGGGGACGTCCACCATTGCCGATCTCAGGCCAACGCGCGCGTATGCAAAGCCGCATGGTATCCTGCGTACAGACCCTTGTGTTATAACGTTTCTGGTGAGAAAATTGCCGGTTGTTGTGCGGTTGGATGTTCCAATCACAGTCGTCACGGTTCTCGTTTTTTATGATTAAAAAAAATTACGGAAAATATGGTTGAATAAATCAAGCGCGACAATCGTGGACGCCCACGGAAGGTTCTCGTCTTTGTGAGGTAAGAATTCTTGCTTCATCTTGAAACTCTCTTTTTATAAAATAGAGTTTTCGTTGCAAAATCAAGCAAACCTAGCGAACTAGCTGCTACACAAAGCTCGCATGTAATGTGTAATATGAATAGCAGCAGCACGAGACAGGGCGGTGCCATGACCTCGAAGCTTTTCTCCCTGCCTTCTTCTCCAAACCTCGAAGTGAGTGCATTTATTATTGAATTAATGCCTTCCAATAAATGTTATTTTTTGCATAAAAAAGCTAGTTTTGTTGTGTTCCTACCATTAATTTCTATATAATGGCATGACGTTGGATGCTGGAATTTCAGCGCCGTTAGGAACGTCCCAGCAATTGAGTTGGAATCTAATAAAACGAGCAAGCTTACTATTCGCGAAGAGCCACCTGACGCCGAGTCGCTTGATGTTTATTTCGTAACCTTTCGTTACGAAATAGACGACTCTGACGTTACGCCAAGCGTTAGTGCCGGAGCCGTTTTTAATGACTTCAAACTCGGACAACCCTTTTTTATTTTCTTTCTCTCTTCGAAACCTTCCGGTTTCCTAGATGTTCGGCGAGCAAGACCGCTGTTTCAGTGATGAGAGAGTTCGGTGGAGGCAGGTGCCCGAATCCCACTAGAGCGACAAACCGAAACAAAAGTGACCGACAAGCCTCACACGATAGGCTTGCAGTCTATGTCCTCATCAAGTGAGCAGGAGTGGTTGCAAGCCTGCCAAAGATACCTTCGCGTGTATGATCCATGGTCTTGAGGCTTGTCGGTGTCTGTTGTATCTGTTTGTCGCACTAGTGGGACTCGGGCATAAGAATGCACGGCATGACCATCCCGTATGAGGAGTAGCGATCGCTTCGATCAAACCACCTCGTTCGACACAGTGACGCATGATCAAAAGGAAAAGCAATTAGGAAGAAACAAAGCTGCGGGAAACTTTCCGACGTCGGGCTTTATCTTGCTTTACAAACTAACAATTTTCTTCGAAAACGTGGGCAACGATGGCATTCTCTACGCTCGCTTATCAGAGCACTTCATGGAAAGCCCCTCCGCTGCGAATTCGAAGTTGTTATCGCTGTGCACCGCTGAAATAACAAGAGGCTTCGACTAGAACTCAAGATTGCGAAAGTTTTGCGAGCGTGACTTGCACGACGCACCGAACGTCCTCAAAGCGTATGAACAGGCTGGTGTCGCGGGAACTTACCGGGAACTAACCGGGAACAAGCTTAATCTATATGTCTCCTGAGTAAACACTAGACGGCCCAATAATTGCTAAAGAATGACTTAAAACAGTCATGCCTTAGAGAAAAACGTGAGCCAAGCATACGGGCATAGGTCCCCGGCGTCGGTTGGGATCGAAGATTTATTTTATTTATTTATTTTCATACTCTCAAGGCCCGGAGGCTCTACAGAGAGGAGTGGGTGATACAGATGAAGCCTTGGCGAACTTGTTGAAATATGTGGCGTCCTGGATGGACACGATGGAGGCAGGGAGGTGGTTCCAATGGTTATATGTTCTTGGAACAAGAGAGTCAAAATAGATGTTGGTGTGACATGTCGGCGTGCGAACCTTGCACTTGTGATCGTTGCGAGGTGACACATATGACGCATGAAAAAGTAGTTGATCTTTTAGAATTGGGTTAGTATAATCGATTTTATGGAAAAGAGACAGACGAAAGTATTTACGGCGTAAAGCGAGGTCAGGTAAGTCCAAAGTTGTCTTCATTGATG